CTCTTTGACTGCCTTGTATCTACCCTTTGCAGTTTTCCTAAGAAGCATAAAAGAGAGAAAATACAGTAAGCTGTGTAGTTGTCAAATAGAGCATATTTTTCTGCTCCAGCAGAAGAGGTTCATTGTAGGGATAAGACAGGGAAGAAGAAAACATGGCAGATAAGAAATTAGACATAGTCCTACCCACGATTATTTGCATTCTCAAAAGTGCCCAAAAGGGAAGCTAAGCTAAGATCTTGATCAAAATCAGGCCTGTAAGTGAATGTAATATTTCCAAGTAGTGCTAGATTGAGAATACTGGGATGTGAAGTCGTATTTATCTAGTACACAGGTACACCATAGCTTAAGTCCAAACCTCTTCCAATATGCCTGACCCCTATTCTGAAACAACATCTCTAGAAATGACAGTATGCCCAATTGTAATCATTTGTTTCATTAGGGAGACTGCCAGTGGGCAATTATCAGTGAAGAACTAGACTGATTCTACAAACTTTGCATGCTGATCATTGAACAGTTGTAACTTTTTTGATCATTGCAGACCTGGATGGGAACTAATAATGTAGAGATGGGAAGGCTTCTCATTTTAGTACATCTATTGAAATGCTCCCACCCTCCCATTTATTTGTAAGGCTGTCATACCTCTGAGTTCAGCAAGATGTGCAGGAGTGTAAGGGAGGGTTTCTTACTTCTTCCATGGGTGTGTGACCATAAGTTGGCCTTTAGCTAACTTTGTATTTTCTCTTCCAGCCCTACTACCTTGGGAACACAGGCCCTGCTTACTTTGAAAGCAAAACTGCTTCTCACGTGTCAGCAGGTTAAAGCAGGCATTCACTGGAAAACACGTACAATTGTGTGTTTAAAAAGGACAGGATAGAATATGTATAATATGAACAAAATGTGTTGCTAATAAGGTTGTTAGAAGAAACTGAACAAAGCAGTAGCTGATGTTTTCTTGTGTATGGGGTGAACTAGATTCTCAGATCCCATAGTGCCGGGGCCATAAAAGTGCCTAAATGAATAGGAGCTAATGGTGGTTTTTTGTTTGGTTTTTTTTTTGTTTTTCCCCATCAGTCTTATTTCTGAGGCAATACTTCCCAAGTCCTGCAGAGGTCTGTCCACTTACATGTTTGCACTTTGTTTCTTGTGTAAGTACTTGTCTAACTCTAACATTTCCCAACCTCCCTGGAACGATTATTGCTTTTGTCACTCTGCCTTACACATGAAGGATTTCCTAAACTCCCTTAGTGTTACTTTCCTATGTTTACTTTATACTCTACATTTTGCATTTGACACTTACAGAATATGTCTGGTGTGTATTTTTTCCCCTCCTAGAATTTTATTCTCAGCTATATAGCCTCCAAATACCCTTTTAAAAATTATATATTAAATGCTGTGTTCCTAATACCTTATCGCTATAATTCCTGACATCTTTTTACCAAGTTATGGCTCCCTCTTCTGGAAATGGAAACACGAGTAAGGAGGACTAAGTTTCAAAGTGAAGTAAGTACAGGCAGCTGCATTCTGGCTTATTTGCACAGTTGTTAGCTTTTATTTTGTGGCCAAATAAGCTGTGAAATAAGGTCAATGGTGTGGTGAGGGCTGAACCCAATAGTTGTCACTGCATTCCTTCCCTCCCTTAATTGCCATCTGCTGTTCCCAAGTCAATATTTTTTGTTTGTTGTTTTTTCTCCATCAGTGCCACACCTGTTGACCTAATGTGTGGCACTGTCAGAATCCTTCCTGAAGCTCAAAAGAGTTCATCACTTGTTTCAGTATTGTCACCTCCGAGAATTAAATTTTAAGTATGACTTTGCTTCAGTAAGTTCATGGGAGACCCGCCTTTCATGTGTTGTGCCTGAACCCTGACTGCAGAATCTTCCCAGATCTCAAAGTCAGACTCAGCTCTACAATATTGTTAGCTATCTTTTTCCTCTGAACTCTGTAGAGATGGACATCTTGTTGGCTTAACTTCTAATTCCTAGATACAAGAGGCCAAAACTTCCAGATGATGAACCTATTGGAGGTTCATTAGTGTAAGTGAGTGACATGGGGAACAGCACAGTTGCATAGGGGCAAACACAGTGAGGAGTTAGTGTTGCTGGGATTTATGGGTGTTCTGAAGTGGGACATGAAAGAGGAAGTTGGGCTAATTACTGTCTCTCCCCTGGATAGGAGATGGGAGAGCAGGGACGTGAAATCAGGCGTGAGAGAACCTCCCCCTTTCCCACAGCTCTTTGCATCATGTTCTCTGTTCCTTTTTTAAAAAAAAACTGTCCTTTGTGCTGAGGTGTTTATATGTATGTTCATTTGCTGAAAATTAATAAGATTGTCAGTCAGTAAAGGAGAGGCTAGAGCTCTCTCATTACTCTCTGTCCCCTTCTTGCCTCCTTGATAACACTGCTTTCCTCTGCAGCAGGCCTATTTTTAACTTGCAAATGTACAAAATTAGGGGAGCAAGGAAGAAGCAGAGGCAGTTTGGGTGGAGAGAAGGGGAGCTCCACCTCCCTACTCATTACCCCGCCCTCATCTTCCTTGAACTATTTTTTTCTTTAACGTGCACAGAAATGTAATGTTAAATATGCATGTGTATAATTTAACCATTGTGGAGCTTCTGAGCTCAGTGCAGATCTTGCATTTACCATCCATAGAATCCAATAAGAATACTCTTCAAAGTCTTGATTAGCATGGTGACAGGTTTCAGAGGGGTAGCAGTGTTAGTCTGTATCAGCAAAAAAAATGAGTCCTTATGGCACCTTAGAGACATTTATTTGGGCATAAGCTTTTGTGGGCTAGAACCCACTTCATCAGATGCGTGTATTTTCCACTCCATGCATCTGATGAAGTGGGTTCTAGCCCACGAAAGCTTATGCCCAAGTACATTTGTTAGTCACTAAAGGTGCCACAAGGACTCCTCGTTTTATTTTGTTTTGATTAGCATGTTGCTTGACACCTTTGTCAGTGGTAATCTTTCAAGAGCAGCTACCCATCTATGATGACCAAGATTCCTATATTATTTCTTACTAGAAACAAAACTGTCTGAGCCTAAATAACTGCATATACTATGAGACTGGAAGTTCTGAAAACCTACTAGAGCTGAGGATGTACGTGGCCTGAAAAATTATGGCATGTGAGGAATTAAAATGGGTGTGTCTGGGTTTGTACACATGCTATATTCAAATCAAAAAGCCTCACTTTTACCTGTTTCTACCAAATGCAAAGAATTGCAGGTTTGTAGATCTATAGTAATTGTGGGGCGGGGGAGTACATACCTTTAGGCTCCATAAAATATCTGAAATGGGAAAAGAGAGTCTGAATACTTATCTTCATTATCCTTTGATCCTAATATTTGCTTTTTAGAGTTGAGTGAGCATGACTCAAGCAGGAGTTAAAGGGTCTGTAAGGACATAGGCTTAAATATAGTACTTGTTGAAGGGGTAAGAAAGATTTATGTTCCAACATGCTTTTTGTTTTACAGACAATTCCCTGCCCCCCAGAAGATGACAGTTTGAAGGCCCGATTTTGATACCCTTAAACATTGAGTAATATTTTAATATCTCAAAGCACTGTGCAAGAAGGAGGTGAAATGATTTGCTCAAGGTCACCCAGCATGCCAATGTCAGAATGGCAGAGTAGAATCTATGGCTCTGTGCAGTGCCCTATCCACTGGGCTACGCTGCCTCTCCTGAATTAACCAAACTAGCATGCATTTAGCAAACCAGCTTTATCTAAATTGACTTTTCCCACTTTCATGCAGAAAAAAGGGTGTCCATACACAGACTTGCACTAAAATAACTTTTATGTGGTGCAAAATTGCTTAGCTCAAGCCTTACTGAATTTCTCTACTCTGAGATTAGTTCTCCACTCACATTTCTGCAGTGAAAGTGTTCAACAGCCTCAATTTTGCATGTGATGCAAACAGTTCATTACCCACAAAGCTTTAGGAAATGTTGCTTTGACTTTTAGGATAAAAAATAATTTGATATACTATTCTGATGAATTTCCAAATTACTTGGCCTAGAGCTGGGTGTACAGTGGATGGTGGTAAACTAAATACATAAAATAAATTGCCATGTACAGTTTACTACTCCTGAGGATTTTCTAGTAGTGTAGTGTAGATGTAGCCCCACCCTCTTGAAAATGAGTGTCAGTTTTGGGGGTGAGTGCTTCCTGGAAAGACTGCTGGCAACACATAATCTAAAAGGAAACAGACATCAGGTGCCTACAGAAAGGATTGTCTGCATGGGCATTTATGGGCATTCCCCCCTCAGGCAGGATTTTCACATTTTCCCGTTGCTTCCATTTTGTGAGTTAGAGGGAAACTAGTTTCAGGCCCTGCATCCTGGAAAGCATTCTGCATCGAGGACTGCCAGAAAACTGAAAGTAAGGAAAAACTAACACGTGTCTCTCTGCCCCTGTTGCTATACTGATCACAAATGCACGGTGCATTTGTGATCAATATAAAAACACGCATTACACACAAGCTTGTTACGTTTTCCATTTTGGCTGGCCCACTTCCACTTACATCTCTGCAGAGGTACAGCCCACATCTATCCTATTCCAACTAATAAAAATAGTTTGTGCCTCGAAGTGCGGTTCTCCCTTTGGCCCCTTCTCCCCACCGCCTGGGAAAGGTTTAAAGCACCTCCACCCTTAGATGCTACGAGAAAAGGGTCTAGGAATCTATCCTGCCTCTCCCTCCAGCCGCCAACGCCCCTGAGCAATGTAGCTGCAACGTGGTCTGGTATTAACAATGTGCCTTGGTTATCGTTGGTACAAATACAGAGACCCGGTCCACGGGAGGAATCAAACTGTCGGACTCTAATATTAATAGCGAGAATACTTGCACTGATTCAAGTAAGATGCAAAAGTAATTCTTCTGTTGTTATACTACCCTGTACCACGTCATCTCTGGCTGGAAGAGTTGAAGGGGAGGACTGGTTGCAGCTCTGCTTATGATCATCATTCCGAAGTGGATCCATTCAAACTCTGCCGTGGTTCTGTTACCCTGGGGCTAGATCTTTTCACAGGGCGTCCCGGTCCAGTGCACAACGTTGGAAGCTCAATTCAGCTTGTACATTTTCCCCGGGCTGATCGCAGTCTGTAGTAGCCGCTGCCAGACTGACTTCCTGGAAAGGCTCCAACAGGAAGAGAAGTTGAAAACTGACACGTGGACTTTGTATTGCAAAGAGACAAACTCCCCTCTGAATCCCAAACCAGATCAGCTCGGCTTTCGCAAAGTCACAGGCAGGGCTGCGGTGACAGGCAGGCATTCCATTCACTCCCTGTGAATGGGCTGGGCTTTGCAATTGGCATCTTTCCTTTATTTAAGCACCTTCTTGTACAGTAGCGGCCAGCAAGGGAGCTTGGGGAGTAGGAAACGTAACCCTGTCCTGGGGATTTTTCCTGTCATTGCTGCCTGCCCTTTTTGCTGTCATTCCAGCATCCTTGCAATAAGTGCAACAACCGCACGGTCTATCAGTGTCTTTTTACTTTGTGAGTCACCCTTTTCTAAAAAAAAACACTGAATGGCCTCAAGCATCGCCAGGAATGGTGTTCAAGTATACAGTTCTGACCTGGTCTCGCTACATCATCATTATCAGCAGCAGCCTGTAAAGAATACGTATAAGGAAGGCACGAAAAAAGATGGGACGGTGGATTCCTATTGGTCCAGGTAAGACTACAGAGTCTCAGTCGTTATAAATATTTTTATTCTTTTCCTTGTGCACAAACCCCAGCTATGTAGTTTTAATATGCAGAGTTTTCATTCCAGTTTAATGGCTCTTTAATCTGTAGATAAAACAGGTGAGGGTGTCTGAATGACAGTGTCATTTTGTCAGGATGGTCCAGTGGTTGGGGATCCATCCTGAGCTGGGACACAGGGAGGGCTGAGTTCAATGCATTGCTTTGCCACAGACTTCCTGTGGACCTTCTGGCAAATTACTTAATCTCTTTGTGTCTCAGTTTCCCAGCTGTAAAATAGCTATAACAGCACTTCCTGACCTCACAGGGGTGTTGTGAGGATAATTACATTAAGACTATGAAGTGATACAATGGTAATGAGGACCAAAGAAGAACCCACATATAGATAGATACTATACAAACAGTCTTCTTTGTAAAACTGTGCTATTCCAAACAGGACTGTTTTAATAAGAACAATAGTACAAAAATGCACCCCTGAGAAAGAAAAGGTAACCACTACATAGAATACAAAACACTTTTTTTAAATGCAAGACGACTGAGCTTGTATCTGCCCTGTAGCTGGTTATTCAAACGTGCCATTTGAAACATTAAGAGCTTTTGATCAAAAGGTCTCAGCAGTTATGTTTGCACTGTAGATAATAACTAATTAGGATTAAAGGTAGCTCGACTACTCAGTAATAGTTTTTCCAAGTTAAATGATTGACTTAAACAAACAAACAATTTTTCCAGCCAAAAATGTGCATCCACGCTGCTTTATGCTGATGATCGGTGTGATGCGTATAGTAATAGTTGAGGTTACCAATTACAATGTACATTGTGAAAAATCATATTCTAAAATGGTTTAGCTGCCCAGTCTTAGCTATTAGAGGGTGCAGCAGTGTACGTGATTTTATTTTAATCTGAGTTGATCTGGGAAGGATTTCCTAGCTCATTTTGTATTCTCCACTGTGTGTGTAATAGTGAAAACAGGCTCAAACCTTGTGTCTGAAGTTAGTTGTATAAGTCTATGGCACATGCTAAGTGATTGAGTGACAAGTGTAAAATTGCTACACTCTTCCCATCTTCACTACACATGAGTACAGTGCTTAGTACGATGGGGCCCCAATTCCTGACTGATGCCTCTTGACGCTACCACAATACAAATAATAATTTAAAAAAATGGATTTTTCTGAGGATAGCCGAGTCTCCAGGTTCTTAAGCCAAAATGTACTGCCTATGACAGTGGTGGCAGGTGTAAATTCTGCGTCGTCTTGTGTTCTGTAGGAACCAAAGAATTACCAATTTTTAATCTCCTCTCTAAAACCGACTCTTCTCTGTGGCCTTGGGCAAATCACTCAAACCTTTAGGCCTCGGTTTGCAGCCACTCTAATAATGCATAAGGGTGCTGTTGGGAATTAATTGGTTAATGTTGGTGAAATGCTTGGGAGATGGGGATAGATGAGGATGTGACTAATTGGCAGAAGCCTTGCAAAACTAAAAGCTTATCTTGGCGAGAATTCTTATTCTTATTTTAAAATGATGTGTGCTTCATAGCAAATAACCATGACATAGGTGGCTGGTGAGATTGATCTTGATCCTCTAGTCTGCAGAGTGTGGCTGTAACCCAGAACCTCCCATCACCAGCACCACACACGCGCTATAGAAAGTCTTCTGATCAAATACCCATTGAAGCCAATAAATCCAGTGGATTTTGTGGCCTTTGGTTAAGACCCCCAGGAGAGGTGGTAAGAAAATAGAATCAATCTGTGAAAACTTATTTGATTTTTTTTCTTGATTTGCTTTGAAAACTATGCTGTTGAAAAGTTAGCAGTCATTTTTAACAAATGTTCTTAGTGATCATTTATGTTGTGGCCTGACCCAGACGCTCCAAGCAGAATTGGAGCTGCACAGTACTGCACTCCGTATAAGCAGAGAGTAAAGGCTAGACATGCAGCCCCAAAGAGTTTACAGTCTAATCTGAGAGGTTGCAATCTGTAGAGCTGGTTGTAATTTTTTTTAAAGCAAAAATACAGTTTTTGTATTGGTCAACATTCTTCACTTGTTTGCGGGGAGGGAGAGAGGATAGATGGGCCCACACAAAAATTCTAAATGAAAATTTCATTTTGCTAAAACTTTGTTTCAAACGTATGTCCCCCCACCTGTGCTTCTCTGATTGGTTTACTTTTTCCCATTAGAAACAGGGTGGGGGAGGGGGAGTTAAAAAAAAAAAAAAGCGAGAGTGCATGAGAATTTGCCCCACTGGTTCAAAGGGACATATTGGCAGATTTTGAAAATTTTCATTCCAAATTTCTTCCAAAATATATATATATTGTTGATGAACCCCTAATTTTTGATGAAAATTTAGTTGCTGCCAATCCTGTGCCCAGCTGGCTCTATCAACAAGTGGTTATAACAAACCCTATGAAGGAACAGGGCAGAGGATAATGGAAATGGCAATAAGATTAGCATTTGTACTACTAGTGCACATAGAGGCTGCAGCTACAATCCGAGCCCTATTGTGTTATGCACAGCACATGCAAACAGAGATCAAGTCCCTGCCCCAGTGAACAAGACAGTCAAAGCATGGGAGGGGAAATACAGGAACAGAAAAGGGTAGTGATTTGCCTAAGGTCATGCAGCAGGCACGTGGCAGGTGCATGCAGGTTTATAAGCTAACTATCTGAGCAGATGGATGCTTTCTAATCAATTATACGTTTAAAATAAGACATAAATAAATATCAATATTTCCAGATGAACTTTACTTTACTCTTCATTCAAGCTAATGAGCTACTGTCACAGAAACAAGGATCCATCAATATGGAGAAATGACATAGAATCCATTTTTGTACTGAAACAAAAGACCCGCCAGGCAGCCTTCCAGATCCTCTGTGCCCCTTTGGTGCAGTGAGACAGATAACCACTTATCATTGCACGTTTGTTTTTCTGTCTTTGTTCTCCCTGGTTCATTCTGCTTCCTCTATTGTTCTCCATTTCTTCACCTCACTTTTCACTTTCCCTTCTACTGTTTTTCTCATACATCTTATCCTATCCTCTCCAGCTGCCATTCCTAAACTTTCGGGGAACTCTCCAGTGGTTCCGTTATCCCATACCATCCCTTCTCTTCCAAGGAACAACACTCAAAACATTCTGATTAGGATGCTTGAATAGCTGTACAGGAAAAGTATGTTACTTTGAGATCTCTGGTTGAAAAGTGCTCTCCAAGTGCTAGGTTTTATTAGTTAATTTATTATTGTTCTTACTCAAAGTGCTTTACAAGCAAGGGCCCCCAGGAGGTATGTAAATATCATCATCCCCAGTTTACAGTTGGGAAACTAAGGCACAGAGAAGTGAAATGCCTTGTCACATCATGGGCAGATCCAGGCTCAGAAGGTGGAGTCTAGGGGGCAGATTCTGGGCTGTGCCTCTCAGGTGGTGCAGCATAAAAGACTCAGCAGGGATTGAGGGCCTTGTGCCTGATTTGTGTCCATTTATTCTTTTATGTAGAGACTATCTCTACGTAAAAGAATAAATGGACACAAATCAGACATCAGGAATCAGACAAAAGCCAGTAGGAGAACACTTCAATCTCCCTGGACATTCTATAACAGATTTAAAAGTAGCCATCCTTCAACAAAAAACTTAAAAAACAGACTTCAAAGAGAAACTACTGAGCTACAATTCATCTGCAAATTTAACACCCTTAATTTGGGCTTGAATAGGGACTGGGAGTGGCTGGCTCACAACAAAAGCAATTTTCCCTCTCTTGGTATTGACACCTCCTCAATTATTGGGAATGGACCACATCCACCGGGATTGAATTGGCCCTGTCAACACTGGTTCTCCAATTGTAAGGTAACTCCCTTCTCTTCATGTGTCAGTATAATAATGCCCGCATCTGTAATTTTCAGAAGTGGGTTTTTTACCCACGAAAACTTATGCCCAGATAAATCTGTTAGTCTTTAAATTGCCACTGAACTCCTCGTTTCTGTTTCAGTGACCAGCATGTCTGTGTGTGATTACAGTTGCACCTTTCCATCTCCTCCATGCCTACTTAATAGGTTTTTTCTGCTCATACTACTGGCTAGAATCAAATTCTGTCTTTATTCTGCCAAAAGCAAGAAATGAAAAGACGGAATGAACAGAAAATTGCTCTTGCTAAACAGTGCTTGTTGCAATCTGTGGCTCTGCTAAGGAAATCCATGCTCAGGAGGGATGCATGAAGTAAACAAACTTGTCTTCCCAGTGGGGAAAAATCCCTTCCCTCTAGGTCATTCTAGTTGGTCATTAACTGATTGGTTTGAAAAATCAAAGCTACCTTTGATGACTACAGATCATAAGGTGTCAGCTGGTGTATGACACATTGCAATCACTTTAGGGGGGAAAAGGATTCTCTCTCGACAGTTATTAATTATGTTTGTTATGGCAGTGCCTATAGGCCAACCAAGAATGGGGTCCCATTGTGCTAGGCACTGCACAAACAGAGCAGTAGACTGAATAGCCTACAGTCTAATTAGGCAAGGCAGACACAGGGCAGGGAAGGGTATAATAACATAGAGAAGCACTAGGATTTTCAATGGTGGGAGCAATCATTTTTTGAGAAAAAACAAATGCAGGGAAGACAACCATCAAGCTGAGTTAAAAATAACTACTCAACACCCTTGGCAGTATCTCTGATTTCACTTGCTTCCATACAGTGTTATTTGTGTGACTGTGCTGTGTTTACTTCACATCAAAAGTTGCCACAAACATGCTGTAAATTAAAGCAATGGACAGGTAAACTGCAAAAAGTCACAGGAATAGGACAATAAAGCAGGGAGGATTATCAAACACGACTGGAAACAGGGTTATGGCTCTGACGCTTTCAGCAGCCCGTGAAGAAAAAATAAAGTGACCTCTGATACGGGAGAGGGTTAGGTTTTTGAAGTACTTCCTTAATTACTGTTGACTGCAGTCAGAACACCTGATGTTCTGAGACATCAGAGCAGGAATGGG